AAGATGGAGAGGTTGGCTGGCCTTGCACATGGCCAGTTGTTCCTTCACAAAAGTTGCCGTCCACCTTTGTGACTTGTCGGTTGGCAAGCTGTGTTGCTGCGTTGGCTTCAGATGGAGAAGAGATCACTCCTCACATGGGATGATCTCCAACATATATATATATATATATATATATTAATGCTATTTATCAATTAGTCATTATAAACAAAATACTCAAAGTAGCCAACAATGGAAAGAAGTGGAACAAAATCTCAATCTTTGACAAGGTTCTATGTATTTAAATGGTTTATTGCTATTTTTCAATAATTTTTGGTGGTATTAATATGCTAATTGGGAAACTTTGAAATTGGGAGCTTTGAATTAACCACAGAGATTAATTACACAGATGGGATGTAAAAAAATTTGTGTGTACTGAAAATTCTTCCCTAGGAGTGGAAGAATTTCTCTATGAGGCCAACTAGATGCTACTACATTTCTTGTTTTTAATTTTTTTGTTGATTCTTTATGTTTTTTTTTTTTAAAGATTTGTGCATCTCCAACTCTTGACTTAAACTTGTATCAAATTTAAAGTTGCATGAACTTACTCAACAACCTCTTCCATTGCTTAAAATTTTAAAGAAAATTTTGAAGCTTTCAAAATTTTAACTTTACCATCACTGAAATTTATGCTTAAATTTGAGTGTGTCCATTGGAGTGAGCTTTCACTCAAAATTTCACTCAAATTTGAGCAAAATCTGAGTAATGGCTGGACATAGCCTAATTAATATATGATTACTCTGTAAGATTTCTAAACAACCTGTATATTAGATTGAATTGAATTGAACAAAGAATACATACATCATTTATATAGAGTACCACTAATTCCTAACCCTACATGAATACATTACTGAGATATATAGAAGTCTAATAAACATAGGACACTGATTCCTAATCTGAGGAGAACACATACACATATTCTCACAATGTTTACAACCAAGCTGCTGTTGAGTGCAATTTTGTGACCAGTGGATGGCGTTGAGTCCTAATATATGACTACTTTATTATTTTAACCTCTTTTGAAAGAACCAAGAGGTGGTAAACTTTTGATTTTGATTTATGCTTTATTTTGTTTTTTCCTTTGCATTCTTTTCAAATTTTAGCCTTCTTTTTTTTGTTGACGGATAGAAATCATGTAGTTGTATTTGTGTGTGTTTGTCTTGTTGAGTCTTTGCCTTTGCATTCTACATGATTTCTATCCGTGAACAAAAAAAATAATTCAGTAGAAAATTCTGAAACTCTAAATTAAAGAACACATAATTCCTTTTTTGTGATGAAGTTTGAAGTTTCAAAGATTCTGAAAACATCAACTCTTAAAATCAGAGACTCACCACCCACCCTCACAGATTATAAAATGGTCACAAGCCAATAGATAGCACACCGAGGGCTTACCTTCTATGCAATCAAATTCTTTTATGAGTCTTGCAGTTGGCCTGTTTAGATCTTCTCGTTCAGCAACATTAATACATAAACACCATTTAAATCTTGCAAATTCTTCTTCTCTCTCTGCAGATCATGATGGAAATACGAAAAAAGATTGTGTAAGATGGAAACGTAGAGTATGTTGCGATGTCTTTACTCTCAATGCCTAAAAATCCAACTCTAGGAAATTATCTTGAGCATATATAGCAAATATTACCATGTTATTTACAAGTAGGAACCATACATAAATGAATAACCAGTCATAGGCATCGCAATTGGGAATCCCACAATAGACACATTCACATATAAATATATAAATCATAACTAATCAAAACTTAACAGGTTCTACGCGAAGCCCAACACTATGCAATTCAATAATTAGAACAAAAACCATCTGATGTCCATGAAGAAGAAATGCAAACAAACACTACAGCATACATGAATAAAAGAGCCATACAAGGGGTAACATCACATTTTGATAATTTAAAATGATCTAGGCCGAGGTATACGTAGTTTAACACAGTCAATATCTTACCGTGTTGAAGAAGCATATTGCAACTTCATCATAACACCTATTAATGATTTGAGTTTTCAGTGTCTGGGCAATACAACTGACAACAACGTGAAAGTGAGTTTCCTCCTCTCGATTTTCCAGCATGTATTGACAAATTGAAGAAGTCAATATTTTTAAATTAATTTATAGAGATCAACAAAGTTTAAATTTGGCTATTCCTGCAACAAGGGAAGATTACCCGTATGAAGTTGCAAACAAGACAACAATTCCATTTTGTACTCTTTCATATGTACTGATTTGATCCGTTAAATAGTGTAGGAATGTTGGCTCAAATATTCTCTCTTTAACACAATAGTCATAGCTTAACTTGTGCCAGACAGTATAGTAAAAATGAGCAAGACATTTACATAAGGATTGCTTCCTCTGAGTTAGGTAAGAATTCATTCCAAACACCTAGTAGTAGTGGTTTTACCAAGCACACCATCCCAGTAGCTTCCCCTGTTCAAATCACCTCTTTATCATAATGTTGTAGCAATCTCCATCTAAAATACCAAACCTGTCCTTCTCCAATCAAACATGTGTACTCAATTGTAGAACATTACTGCACTGCTCAAGGAAGCTTCCACTTTTTAAGATATTTTAGTTTCAATTTCTGCACCCACTCATCAATGGTAAAACTAACACCATCAAAGTTTGCTGTGACCCAAAATGCCGCTTGGACCTTGATTACATCAATTACCTCACTTCAATATATTTCATTATGATTAAATAAATATATAGCATCGTTCCTTGTTAACCATAAGCTACACGAAATAGCAGAAAATAAGGAATCCCAACTTCATCCTCTTATGGTTGGATTGGGCAAGTCACTTGTTATTCTGTGCATTTTGTGACATCATGAAGCAGATGGTTTACTTTGATTACCTGTTTGTTTACACGATCCCATTCATATTACTTCTATTATTTGTACTTGAGATATCATCAAGCAAATGGGTGTGACTCATTTTTCTGTCTATTGTTATGAAGATGTGTATTACTTGTATTTTCTACTGTGATATGACACCATTTGGCTATTCTATATGTAGTAATTTGATCGCTTGCATTTTGCATTGGTCTGTGATTAGATTCATGGACTTGTACTCCCTAACTTTGAAAGGGATATTTTCAGTTATTGATATGTTGGTGCTAGTGATGGATTTGGTTTTTAATGAAAAAAGCATGTTTTGATTGTATTTCTTTTTTTCATGTTTGAAATGCTTGTCCAGATAATTGTGTCAAACTCAATTCTGCTGCCATCTAGGTAAATGAAGAGGTCAAACACTTGAATGAGAAGAATGCATCCATGTGAAAGGATGACAAATATTTGTCTCTACAATGACCCAACTGGATGTTTCACGCTATTTGTGTGCATCCTAGGGATATAAAGGGTCCTTTTGCAGTTGAGGAAGGATCCACCCCCCATATAAATATTTTTTAATCAAATATAAAAATATCAGAAGAATTAAAGAATTTCAAACTAAGAGATTTAAGTATTTGTGACTTTATTTTTTGGGATAAAATAAATATTTTCTAAATGTGAATGGTTTAACAAAGAGAAGGGTTTCAAATAAAATTTGGTTTTTAATGTTCATTAGTTTTCATGCAGCTATTTGTTTCAATTGTTTTTATTTGCAGAAAAAAAAAATTCCATGTAGCTTAAAAAAATTAGAAATGAAACTGACAACTAAACATTTACAAAAACAGAAAACTAAAAATTCCCCCAAGAAATGCCAGACTCAGGACAGGGCAATTAACTATATAGCTTAAAAAAGTCAGAAATAAAACATAAAATCCTTGCATGTTTTTTTGTTTTGTTTTGTTTTGGTTTTTTGTGTTTACGATAGAACCCTTTACATGCTTTGAACACCCAAACAGTGAACTCCATTCTCATTTGCCTCAACCTTGAGGTGGTAGCACTTCCTATCACGTGCCAAAATTTGAACAAATTCAGAACATAGTATACCAATGAAATAGAAGGGGATTAGGACTATGCTGCTTACCATATATTCCGGCAAAAATACATTGTAAAGTTGATGGGCAACTATTGGTGCTGTAATTGACTGATAAAAAATAGACATCGGCCTTGCTCGTATAGCAGAATTGCTTGGAATGCCCAAATTTATGTCACTTTTTTCCTGACAAACTTGGTAAGAGTGTAGATAGATCAGTACTTCATTTTGTTTGTTTAGTCTAACCAATGTATAAGTGCTCTTCCAAAATTTTAATTAAATTTTGTTGGCAAACTTCTTGTGCCTTGTGTGCTATATTAGATAAACTGATCAGACTTGGATTTATATGTAGTCTACAAGTCTGTATAATGCATTATGTACTTATTTGGATTAGTTTAAGTTTTAGAATGTTTTCTAGCCCACTGGTTTAGACTCATACTACAAATATCTACATCTATATCCATATATATTGTAAAATAAATTGATGTATATTATTGATTTATAAGATTGTTGTGTATATTACAAGATTGATTTGTGTATATTGATTACAACTCCTATATTATGAATTCCCTGTGTGCTGTGCATATTCAACATTGCCGATACTAAGTTCATGTTAAAAAATGTAGACTGATCGTGTACCCCACTGTAGGATCCTTTTGCTTATAGCCTCGCCCTTTCTTGATAAAAAAAAAAATTAAAAAATTAGCTAACCTGATAACTCAATGGATCTCTTCGGAGTATGAATTCATGAATCTAAATACAAATATGCGAGCAAGACTTAAGAAATTGGATATAGATTTATTTTATTTTATTGAGAATTTAATTTTAATGACAAAAAAATGAGAAATGATTTATATAACTGATTCCAAGTTATTGAGATACAACAATTAATTTAATTCTATTAAAATTTAAACAAAATAGTTGTAGCTAAATAAGTTGATAGGACACAATTTGGAATTGGAAGCATGTATTTCAATCCTTGAACCAAAATTCTCATTTTGTTCCTAGGTTAATCTTTCCTTGATTTGTAGGTGACAATAATGGACAAGAGTTGGATGATGATAAATAATAGATTGACAAGCAAAGAGTATCAACAAGGGGTGAAGTCATTCCTTGACTTTGCTACCACAAATTTAGGCCCACATGATGAAATTAGGTGTCCGTGTGTCGATTGCATGAATGACACAAAATTTAGTAGACAAGTTGTCTGGACACACCTGATTAGAAGAGGAATTGCGTCTTCGTATATAACTTGGGTGCACCACGGGGAACATGTTCCCATGTATCATCCTAGTGTACCAAATGACCATTTTGGAAGTAGTGGAGAAGGTATGCCAGATACTGATCATTCGATGATGGGTGAATTGCCTAATATGATGGAAGAAATTTACATGAGTGGTCTTATGGATGATCATATCGACGAAGAACCTTATAGTTTGGAGAGGGAGGGTTTGCAGAAGTTCATTAGGTTATTTGAAGATGCTCAATGCAAAATTTACCCAGCATGTGAGAAGTTCTCTATGTTGTCATTCGTTATTAAGATGCTTCATGTGAAGGTGTACAACAAATGGAGCAAAAAGTCATTCGATATAGTTATGCAGGCATTCAAGGACATTCTACCAGAATGTGATCAAACTGTTCCATGGATGCTCTATCATGCCAAGAAGTTCTTACGTAACTTGGGTTTGGGATATGAAACCATTCATGCGTGCAAGAATGTTTGTGCACTGTTTAGGAAGGAGAATGCGAGTTTTGAGAAATGCCCTACATGTGATGAGCCTAGATACAAGTTGAACAATGATGGGGGTAAAAAGATTCCTCACAAGCTATTGCGGTACTTTCCTTTGATACCGAGGTTGAAAAGATTGTATATGTCAAAAAAAAAAAAAAAACAGCCGCAGATATGAGATGGCACAAAGAGAAGCGTGTGGATGATGACATATTAAGACATCTGGCCGATGGTGAGGCATGGAAGGACTTTAATAAACAACATTCAGCATTTTCTACTGATTCTCGAAATGTAAGGCTAGGGCTGGGGACAGTGGTTTCAATCCATTTGAAAATATGAGCACATCATATAGCATGTGGCCCGTAATCTTAATGTCTTATAATCTCCCACCGTGGAAGTGTATGAAAGAGTCATTTTGCATGATGTCATTGCTTATTCCTGGACAATCGGCACCTGGAAGAGACATTGATGTTTACTTGCAACCATTAATAGAAGAATTGAATAATTTGTGGGAGTGTGGTGTGCAAACGTATGATGCATCCAATGGCCAAATTTTTATAATGCATGCGGCAGTCATGTGGACCATAATGACTTCCCCACCTATGGTAACATGTCAGGGTGGAGTACGAAGGGTTACTTGGCTTGCCCTAATTGTAACATGAATGCATCATCACAGGGTTTGCGAATTAAGATCGGGTACATGGGTGCTCGTCGGTGCTTGCCTGAGAACCACAATTGGCGAAGGAGTAAGCTCTTCAACGGTCAAATTGAGGACAGGTCCAAACCTGTGGACTTATCGGGAGAAGAAATACTAGAGCAAATTGGTTGTGGGACTTACAAGCCGTATGGAAAGCACCCACACAATGGAAAAAGACAAAGGAATGAAAATCCAAATTTGAATTGGACAAAGAGATGCATTATGTTTGACTTGCCCTATTGGAAAATGCTGAAGCTGTGGCACAACCTTGACGTCATGCATATTGAGAAAAATATATGTGACAATGTGATTGGGACACTCTTGAGCATAGATGGAAAGAACAAGGACACAGACAAAGCACGCTTAGATTTGGAGGACATGAGAATATGTAAAGAGCTATACTTGAAGAGTCGTGCCAATGGATCTTTTGAGAAGCCCCCCATATTGAACACATTGTCCCTGACAGAGAGAGAAGGCTTTTTTCATTTTTTGAAATCAATTAAGTATCCTGATGGCTATGCAACAAATATATCCAATTGCGTGACCGCTCAAGGAGGTAAATTATATGGCCTCAAAAGTCATGACTGTCATGTCCTTATACAACGACTTCTTTTGATTGGGATACGTGGCTACCTTACTAAGGAACGTGACACCACACTTTTTGAGTTGGGAAATTTTTTCAAATAGTTGTGTTCAAAGACATTGAGGGTCACAGATTTGGAGAAATTAGAGAAACAAATCATACTCATACTTTGTAAGTTCAAGAAGATTTTCCCTTCAGTTTTTTTGATGTCATGGTCCACTTGGCAGTTCACTTGCCTTGAGAGGCTATGCTTGGAGGGCCAGTGCAATATCGATGGATGTACCCAATTGAGAGGGATGTTGGTACTTTTGTAGTGTGAAAATTGTAATTAATGTTTCACTGCTAATATATATTTAAATATAACATTCTCATCGTCTTGGTTTTTAGGTTGCTTGGACGTCTAAAAGGATTTGTGGCCAATAAAGCTTATCCTGAAGGTTTTATTGCCCAGGCTTACATTTCAAAAGAGTGTACGGCATTTTGTTCAATGTATTTGGATGGAGTTGAAACAATTTTTGATCGGGAGAAAGAAATTGCGACATGGGCAACCATGGTCCAGGGTTGGTCGTATTCACTCAAAATGTCTGCCCCTTTGGTCTAATGACAAGGGCATCCAATGTGTCCGTAGCTGAACGCGAGATGGCTCATTGGTTTGTTCTACACAATAGTTTTGAACTGGAAAAATACTTAGAGTATGGATCCATTCCACGTATTTATATGATATAGTTGTCAAATTGATTAGTATTGATTTTTTAAATTTTTTTTGAGAGCCATTTTTGTAACTAGGGAGCACAAGAAGTTGTTACAACAAACTAGAGGTGCATTCGACATCGCAAAGAGGCAACGCAAAGAATTTCCTAAATGGTTCAAAGATTGTGTAATCTGGAATTCCCCTTTGTAATCAGTCATACATTACCTTAATATTGCGTATACTTGTAGCATAACACATGTTCTACATGTAGATGGATAAATTGTGGAACCAAGTATCCCCCTGAAGCAACTGATGAGATGTGGTCCTTAGCCAATGGTCCTAGTGGCTTAGTGAACACATATTCATGATGTATTTGTAATGGCATCCGATTTCATACTATCGGCCGTGACAACCATCGTAAAATTCAAAATAGTGGGTTAGTCGTGGAAGGGGACCATGAAGGCCAATTGATAAACTTCTATGCGTACTTGTGCAAAGTGTGGGAAATGAACTATTTGTTTAGACATCGGATCGTATTGTTCCAATGTGAATAGTTTAACACCAGTAGTAGCAGAACTATGCGTGTCGAACCACATTTGACAACGGTTGATATAAGAAGTCAATGGTACAAAGACGACTTATTTTTCTTACCAAGTCAAGTTCAACAAGTATTCTATGTTGATGACACCAAATTAGGTGCCAATTGGAGAGTCATAGAAAAGTTTGAACATCAAGGAATTTGGGATGTGCCGGAGATGGATGACATAGAAACTGATGATGTGTTCCAACAAGAAGAAACTACTGAGGTTGTACCAGCTGAGGCTATTGACGATGATGTGGTTTTGCGTTGAGATGATATTGAATATGAAATTATTCCAATGGAAGGTTTACAATATATTAGAGGTGTAAAAGCCAAGGGTGTTATAGATGATGCCTTCATCTGTGATGATGAAGATGGATTAATGAGGGAGGGTAACGACACAGACGAAGAATGTGACCTACAAAGTGATTTTGATACAGATGTTGACGTAGAATCTTGATGTATTTGCTTTTATGATTTGGATATGATAATGAACCAAAATACTTGTCTTATTTCTTCATCAAAATCATGTCATCGCTTGTTAGATATCTTTTTATTAATTATTTCTTTTATATCATGTTTTATAATGTTAGCTTGTTATATATCTATGCAAGAAATAATTTAAAAAGCAGGTCATAGTAGCTTGTTACATCTCTTCTTTATAATTACATGTCTTATTGTATATGACATTTTGTACTGTTAGTTGTTTTATTGCAGTTTGCATCATGGTTCCTGGCTTGAAGATTGGTTGGCTCAAGAAAAGGTCAATCACGACCACCGAAACAAACTCATCGGCTGTTGTCCCCTTAGGATCAACAGTTGCACCACCTCCTATTGTCCCCTTAGGATCAACATGTGCACTACCTCCTGTTGTCCCCTCAGGATCAACCGGTGCATCTTCTACTAATGTGACTAGCCCACCATTCGAGGATTCTGATGAGACACAGCCACCGTCAGAAACTCAAAATCATATCATAGGTAAGATCATTGTACTTCAACTGTGTCAATTACCAACTGTCATTATTTGCAATTTGCTTATTGTTATTTTGTTATCAGGGACTTCTAGGTACACACGGGCATGAGGACCTACACTTGGAAAAGGAATACAAAAAATAATTAGATCCAAAAAAGGGAAAAAATTATATGTTCACATCGATCGTGTTTTGATTACAATGACCGGAGATTATGCCACTCCAGCAGCTAATGAGTTAGGGCTTCAGATTAGGAGTCTGTGCCCTCTCAAGGATGTTACATCGTGGCTGAATATGGATGAGACTACCAAAGCTACAGTCATCCAAGCTATTCTCGTAATTGATAATATTGGGCAATATGTATTTCTCTATTATTTATACTTGTTAGAAGCACTTATTTTAATGCTTGTCACTTTCACTTGTTATGCTTGTAGAACAAGTTTGATATTGGTGACGACTTTCACAATGACTTACTAGCTCAACAAATTGTGAATACAAAGGCATATAAGTTGTACAAAATTGGAGGTACAACTTGAAGCAAGAATTCGAGCTATTAAAGGAAAAGGGTGTTGATGACCTATATGCTCATCCGCCCCGAGCGGTGAGTTTGGATGGTTGGAAGCATTTGATCGATGTGGCATGGCAAGATGCATCTCACCAGGTAAAATACTAATGCATCATATATAGTCCCGTGCCACATGTGATAGGCCTCAATATTTAACAAAAAATTGTTTATGTACTTATTTTTTGTAGAAACGGTCAGGAGCTGGTAAGAGTAACATAAGTCAATCGTCATACAATCATACTAGTGGATCTCGCTCATTTCTTATCGTGATGGCTGCTATCGTGAGATTGATTTTATTTAAAATTAACTCCATTATTTTTGTTTTGTTATGAATAATATGTTGTGATTTTTTTATTTTTTATTTATTTTTATTTGAAACTAACAGGTAGCGAAAAATGTGGAATTGGATTTTCCTAAGTTTTATGAGGATAGCCACACTTCGAAAAAGACGAATGACTGGATCCATCCCAAATGTGGTGAGCTGCATGTAAGTATGAAACAATGAATTAATTGTATTTAATATTACTTCGTACCCAAAAATATATATCTTATTATGCCTTTTTGTCTTCTTTATGTGCAATGACAGCAAAAGATGGTCAATCTACAAGTGGCTGCCACTGAGTCAGGGACACCATTGACATAGTAGGAGCTTTCAAGGCAAGTGCTTGGCGAGAAGAAAAAGTACTTGCTTGGATTTGGGATCGGCTCACAACCGTCTACCATAGTTGCATCACGAGCACGTGATAAGGACATGGAGGCAATGAGAGCTGAGATGGAGGCACTTCGTAAGGAGCAACAAAGAGATCGTGAAGAGTTGATGAAAGAGTGAGAGGAGCGCGAGAAAAATTACAATGATATGTTAAAAGAGTGAGAGGAGCGCGAGAGATGTTACAATGAGATGTTGCAAGAGTGGGTGCAAGGACAGAAAGATCGGGAGGAGACAGATAAAAGGGTTGATCATCTAAATAATGTAGTCGCCAAACTCTCACAACTCTTGGGGATCTAAGGTGGTCGAATGACGTTTACTATTTGGTAAGTACAACTTTATTGCATATTATCTTTATAGTATTTTTTTTGGATTGTTGAATTTTTGTTATTGCATATTATCTTTATTCTATTGTTTCACGAAGTGAGGTGATGCAATTAGAATTTTGATCACGTAACAATTCAAAAGAGTAGATGTTACTTATAGTTATGAAATTAGCTTCGGGCTCCTGCAAACCCTAACTGGATTTGTTCTGTGTTTAGTTTTTGTAGTATGCATAATATTGGATGTAGTTCCATTTCTTTGTTGCATCATGTTTCTAACGTCTGATTGTGGAAAATAAAATTTACTTTGGGACTATCAATTTTTTTTTTTTTGAATGTGTTAAGGTTTCTATATATAATTTATGATGAAATTGGACACTTTATGAGCTGCCAAGGAATTGAAATAGTGGTGAAAACGGAGAAATATAGGATACTGTAGGCAGAACATTCAAATCAATTGAGAGTTTTACTTGAACACTTTAAGCATATACTTTAGCACATAAATGTTATTGTACTTAATAGCTTCAGTGTCTTTGGGATACCTTCAACTAGGATTTTTTTTGATCATGTTAATCAAAAGTCAGCTAGTGAACTGAATATAGTACTCTACTAATCCACACTAATAATGCTTAGCTATAAGAGGTGAAGGAATTAATAGTTCTGATGTAGGACGATGTCTATAGGAAACAAGTCCTAATGCTGCCGACAATTAGATCTGTGGTGGTTTTTGGCTATGAAAAGCTTCTAGGGTTTGGAAATGTATGTGTGAGATTTGGCTTGATTTCCAAGAGGGCAAGTTTGCAAGAATTTTAATGAGGTTTGGGTTGCCTGCAATTTTGGAGTTAAATGGTTAAATTCAAGGCTTTAGAAGTGATTATTTATGATATAAACCTCTGGAGTTGAAAAGGTTCATTTTTGGGTAAATTATACTTGTCACCCTTATAATTTGACTCAAATCACACTTTGATTCTTATTATTTCAATTTTAACAATTAAGCTCAATTTCAATTTTGTCCTTTGGTCCAAATTACTGTCAGTTTTTTTAATGTGTATACTTGAAGAGACATTAGGCTCGCTTTGAATTTATGGTTTTGAAATGAATAGATTTGATATCAATAATTTGAAGAGTATAGCCTTTGAAGCCAATGTAATATTTTAGATTTAGATATGAAGAATGGATTTGAGAGCTTTGTAATGATGGATTTCAAATAACTTTGTAAAAATGATTATTTGAAATTCTTCCATAAAAGATTTTACTTGTACAAAAACCTGAACAAAATACATGAAACATACCTGTATTCAATCCTCCACTTTAGAGTTATCATCTACTTTGAATAACTAATCTTCTTATATTATTTTACAAAATTCCAACTTCAAATCCCTTCATTTTATACCAAGCTGGGCTATGTAGTTTTTTATTGTTTTACTATGAAGTTTTGGGGTTGGACTGTCAACCATTTTTCTATGGGAGAGAGAGAGAGAGAGAGAGAGAGAGAGAGAGAGAGAGAGAGGCTATTTCTGTGGTTGTAATGTGAGTGCTAAAATGTTTGATAATTTGCTTGGTAGTTGATCTGTTTACTAAGTAAGTTGTTCTTACCCATTCCTGATTTTGAGTTTTTCATTGATAATCTATGTATGATTTAATTTTTATGGTTGTTGAGAGAACAGAGTGTTCCTAGACGATTGAATTTGCACATGACACTAATAGTTGAACTAATAATCCATGTCTTATGAATTTCTAATTATTTGTTTGTTTCCACTGTCTTTGAGAACTAGATGAAATAACCTTACATTTTTTGAAAGCTAGATATTGGGTTTTTGGATTTGGAAACTTTGTCGGGATAATAGAGGCCAACAGAGTTTCACCCACTAATTAATCTAGATATGGGTTATGAATTACACCATGCTTTCATGCACGGGCGTACGCTAGTATTAATTATATTCGAGTTTTATTGTCATATTTTTTAATAATTTTAAATATGCCAAAATGTAGTCAATACTAATGATTAATTTTATTTGAATAGATGGTTTTTGGCGTGGAATTGCAGTGTACAACTTTTTTTGATATGTAAGAAAGACATTGTTTTTAGTCTACAAATTAGTACTCTTCGTACATATTAGTTTTATGGCGTGGTACAACAGACTGAATTTGACGTGGTACATATTAATTTTTTATGCGGTACAGATTATCTTTTGATGTGGTACATATTACTTTTTTGGCATGGTATAGATTACCTTTTGGTGTGGTACAAATTAGTTTTTTGGTGGTACAAATTAACAATTGGATATTAATTTTGTTTAATCCTATGTTATGTAGGGAATTATATTTTTGAGATTGGATTATACTTGGTTTGTATGGAATTTTTATTGGAAATATTAATTTGATATTAAAAATGAATTTTTTTGATGGTTGAAAGTGAAATGTGTGCATGTTGTGGAATAGTTGCTAATTTTTTCAGTATATGGATAATTTTATTTATACATAGGGTACAGATTGTATTGATAATGGAATAAATATAGGTGGTTGAGAAATTAATTAAAAAAATTACAAATTTTTTGGTGACTAAATATTTTGGTAGCCAAAAATGCAAACAAAGGTTTTTCATGACTAAATATTTAGTTGTAAAAAGAAACAAAAGACTTTTGGCGACCAAATCGTTAGTAGCTAAAATAAATCAAGATAAGGGAAGAAACTTTTGTCGACTAAAGATTTTAGTCACAAAAGAACATGGCATCCTTTGGCGACTAAAATGTTTGGTCGTAAATTACCAAGAAAGGAAAATATCTAATCTTTTGGCGACTAAAATGTTTCACCGTGAAAACTAACCGTGACTAAATATTTTGGTCACTAAATGTATTATTATTAGTGACTAAAATTGTTAGTCGGTAAATGTATTATTATTAGCGACTAAAATGTTTTAGCGACTAAATATTTTAATCGCTGAAAGAGAATTTCATTTTGATTTAATTACTTTTGATGACTAAATAATTGGTCACCAAAACATTATGTTTGGCGACTAAGTCCATTTTAGTAGCCAAAAATCTCAGCACTTATTAGCGACTAAATATTTTAGTCGCTGGAAGAGAATTCCATTTTGATTTAATTACCTTTGACGACTAAATAATTGGTCACCAAAACGTTATGTTTGGCGACTAAGTTCGTTTTAGTAGCCAAAGATAAGATTATTAGCGACTAAAATGTTTTAGTGACTAAATATTTTAGTCGTTGAAAGAGAATTTCATTTTGATTTAATTACTTTTGACGACTAAATATTTGGTCGCCAAAACGTCATGTTTGGCAACTAAATCCGTTTTAGTAGCCAAAGATAAGATAATTAGCGACCAATGTAAATTTAGTCGCTGTTGACTATTGCCGACTAGGCTTTGACGACCAATGGGGCGACGAATAACTTTAGTCGCCATTGACTTTTGCCGACTAAAAAATAACCTTTGGTGACTAAAAATTTAGTCGCCAAAAGTGTAATTTCTTGTAGTACCATATGGACATTTTAATTAATTAATTAATACTCAATTCGTGGAGGGAGTCTTTTATTTGAGTTCTTTTCCCTGAAGTTGTTGTGCTGAGAATCCTTGCCATCCACTTCCCAACTCTTCCTATAGAGGACAAATGGTTGTTTTGAGAAGTAGGTTAAAAGTTATTTTTTTGACTTTTTTTTTTTATTTTTTGTTTTTTTTTGGAAAAAATCTGTAAAAAGTAGAGAGGTAATGTGATCGAAAAGAGGTTAAAAGTCAAAAAATTAACTTTTAACCTCTTGTCAACAGAGGCCAAACTTGTTTAGGGTATGACTGAGAGTAGAAATTACTCTGTCGAATATGCTTTTTTGTTATTTATGGCTCTTAATGAGAAATTCACTACTTCAATAAGTTAAACCCTCACTTGAAGAAAGTTTGGTATAGAATCAAGTCATTGAAGATCCTTCCTAAGGTTTTATTCTTTCTTTGGAAGGCCATTCATTGTGCTTTTTCAATTAAAAGTTGTTAATGTGCAAACAAGAAGTTGAAATTGGACTTCTCTAAACATGTATTGGGATCTAGTTTGGACTTTGATTTTGATAGTGGAAGCCTAGTTCTTTCAAGGAATGGTGTTTTTTTTTTGGATATATTGGTGATCACCCTTTGGGAGAAACAAGTTTCTTTTTTTTTTTTCATTTTAAAAATGTTGATCTTATGCCTAGTGATATATTGGCCTTGATTAATGATCTTAATTCTTAATTTTATGCTTTGAGTGAAAGTTAGAGATTTGCAAGTGATTGATGGATGGGAAGCCAAGTGATGCTCTACAATACCATCCAAATTGTTTAAGGCGGTGCATGTAAAGAGGTTACATGGAGGTTGATATCCAGATAGATAGTTTGTTGTTTGTTTAGGCACTAAATGTTGATTATGCAACAAATTGCTACATGTGTTTTCTGATTATGGACATTAAGTGGCTAATAATGTTTGTAATGTTTTAATCCTTTGTTTATTATGTTTCTTCTTGTTCCTAATAAAAATAGAGAGAAAAAGAAGAAAAAAAGACAAGTCTTACCTTGCACATGGATACCTACAACTCATCAAACATTGATCAATATAAGCTATGTCTAATAACATTTCTAGTCTCTTATGTATGTGATTTGTGTCATTTTTATTAACAATGTTTAAATTGTGAAAAATATTTTAATTTGGTCACCTAACTCTGTTAATCTATGGCGTTAAAGTTAAGGTAAATGTGGAAATTGAATTGAAACAAAAAGTACGTTTTTAGTTATATATACTAAAGGTGAGTGCAAACACGTTAGATTTGTAATTTTATATTTAAATTTTTGGATAGGTTGAAAATTAAGGAAAATCGATCAGTAGTTTTAAACCGTTCAATGAAGGAAAAAATAAAGTTATTTTAACAGTTGTTACATGTGATAGCTATTGGGTGGAAAGAGGTGACAATTATTGAGCGAGAAGGGTATTCTTGAAAAAGTAAAAAACTTGATAGTGGCTCAAACCAATTTAAATATACGTTTTATATAATAGAATAAATATACTAAAAAGTGTGCATTGTAATAGGCAATTATAGAATCCTGTGTGTGCTTAAAATAAAAGGTGGTTTTGAAATAAAAAAGGGTTATTTACATGGAGATTTATTAAATTATTGTGAAATATCATTTTAATTTCCTAAACTATAAACGCATACAAATAGATCTCCTAAATTATTAGCGTGTTTCACTTTGATCCCATCTGTTACTGCATTCTCATTTTTGAGACGAAAATACTCTTTAACACTCTATATAACACACCCAACAATACTTCTTTTCAATTTTTCTCATTTTTTTGGTTTTATTATTATTTTTAAATATTCTTTCTGTAAAAATACATTTATCAAGAATATTAAAAAAATAATAATGGATTAATGCTTATATTAAAAAAAATAAAACAAATAATAATAATGAAATTGAAAATATATAGAGTGTGAATGGTATTTTCGTCTAAAAATATTTAGAAGTTTGGTTTAACTTACGGTGCAGTAATAGAAAGAGTCAAAGTGAAACATGTCAATAATTTAGGAGATCCATTTGTATGATTTTATAATTTAGTCAAAGTGATACTTCTCAATAGTTTAGAATGTCTTTGTGTAAATAATTCAATAAAAAAAGTTTTGAAAAAAGTTTTCAAGATTAATATAGATATGAGTGGTGCTACATTTCCTAATTTGGTCCTAATTCCACCTTTAATGATGTTGCCCACTCTTATATGAAGCAGTCCAATACTCCTCTCTCTCTCTCTCTCTCTCTCTCTCTCTCTCTCTCTCTCTCATCTTTAACCTTCCTAATTTCACATCATTAAAGATAAAATTAGAGAAACAAAATTAAGGGGATAAATCATTATACCATATGTCACGCCCCAAAATTTGAGACCACAAGAGAAATATATAAAGTGCAACTCAAACAAAAGAGATAACCACAATATTTTAATATACACATATAAGCAGAGTTATAACATAGATAACTGATTTGAGTTCTACTAGAGGTTTACAAAACACTGTCAAACCAAAAGATAAAAGGAGAGAGAAAACAAAAACAAACTACTAGTCCAAATTTTCAAGTGAACCACGGCTCTAAAACTTCATCTTGATTGTCTTCGAAATAACCTTCCCCATTGTAAGCTGCTACTTCACCTGGCATAACACGCCATGAGCTTGGAATGCCCAGTAAAAACACACACACCCCTATATCTTCTATCAATCAATCAATCAATCATATACAAAACAAATCAGGTAACATAACATACTTACGTTAAGGTTTTATGAATTAGTAGTTAGACTAGGAATCTAGAACCCCCCAAAGAGATCCTTCTACCCAGCCACAAGATTAAACACCGGACTACTCAGAACTCCCCCTTTTGCTGCTTTGCAGACCTTACCACCCATGCCCACTTCCCTGTTACTTACCGGTTAGCGACATCGATGGACCTCAAAAGGGACGGCCAAACAAGTGGGCTCGCTTACACCCCAAATCGTGCCTAGGGGTCGCTTACACCTTGCACATACCATACCAAAGGGCTCGCTTACACCCTGAAACCACCGCATAGAGTCTGAATATGTCCGTGTCAACCTAAGGGCTCGCTCAAAATGCTTACACAAGACTTAACTCATTTAGTATTAATCCCATCATAATTCATGTCATGCATATGTATAAAATTGTTCTAAAACACTAAGATGAACGTCACCCATTGCCAGCCCTTTATCACTTCCCGTTTATTAGATCTTTTGCTAGGTAAATTAGTCACATTCGGTAATTCGGTCATATAAAAGAGTATGAGAAAAACATACGAGAGGAAATATAGTCCATGATCATCATTTATAAGTATAGTAAGGCAAGAAAACAACATTAGAAATGCTTTGAAACACTTAGAGACAATTAACATAATAGAACACAATTTCCAGCACTGTTCGGTTCTGCAGGGCTAAAAAGAACGCTTTGGTAAAAATACTTCTAGGTCAAATTAGGGGATGAAATTGCACATAAATAGTATTCAATCTGTCATATAAAAGAGTATGAGAAAAACATACGAGAGGAAATATAGTCCATGATCATCATTTATAAGTATAGTAAGGCAAGAAAACAACATTAGAAATGCTTTGAAACACTTAGAGACAATTAACATAATAGAACACAATTTCCAGCACTGTTCGGTTCTGCAAGGCTAAAAAGAACGCTTTGGTAAAAATACTTCTAGGTCAAATTAGGGGCTGAAATTGCACATAAACAGTATTCAATCTGTCTAGTTTTAGTTCCAATTTTCAGAAGTTGCACAGCCCCTCCCAAAAATTCATCTACAAACTATATTCGAAAACCTGTCCAGATTTGTCACCCTTTGGGAAAACTAGCTTTTCTCTCAATCTACCCTACGGTTTTCACTCAAATAAAATCTGTTGGAAAGAGGACTCAGAGTTCTAAATTTTGACAGAAGAGCCAACATGAGATGATTTTTCTAGAATTTTATAAAATTGCTAAAAGTGGACTGTTTTTCAGAGACTCAGGACCAGATTTTTCAACAAATTATCCAAGCCCTAAAAACACACAATTAAGAGCTAATAAAATTTGTCACGAGCTCTAAACACATAAAATATTCTACGATAAATTCGGATTTGAGAATTAGATAAATTTGATATTTCTTTTAAATTAGAGAAGTTGCAGCAGTGCCTAATTTCACAAATTTGTAAGACAATGACACTATATCATAGCCGTACTTTCACACACACCAAAAACCCTATTTACCATTAATTTGTAACACAAGAGCCATACTAGACAATAGAATGAGTTGATGAAAGGATTGGAGAAATTAAGGGAGAGGTATGTTCTTACCTTTAAGAATTCCTTCTTTTTCTCTTCTTTTTTTTTCTTCTTCTTACTTCTCTACTTCCCTTGAGCCAACTCTCCCTCTCTCACCCTCTCCTTGGGCTGTTCAAAAACGTGGGAGTGAATTTGGACAAACTCAAAATTTATAGAGTATAAGGTAGCTTAATGGCTAAGTGAACTAAATATCTAGATATTTGTTTTTTTTTATTTTATTTATTTTATTTTTGGTTTGTTGTCATCCAATCAATTTTTCCACCAACATATTATATATATATATATATATATAAACTATGTATATATTCAAATAAACAATTGTATTCTATTCAAATAAATAATAAATGAAAGAACACTTAAAACAAAAAAAAATAGAAATAAAAATAAAATGCGTGAATTAATTTAGAAATTATGAGGTAAAATAAATAAAACCAAGTTTTAGGATAGTTTCAATCATAAAGTAGTGTTCTATGATTTAATTATGGTAACACACGGAAAATTTATTCTTTACTTGGGCCCTTACGCAGACTTTTACGGAACTAGGGCTAAAATGCTATTAACCTAAGGCTCAGGGTTTCAAGTGTAATTACAAAAAAAAATATTAGGGTCTCTACACCATATACTCCTATGCCTCACCTTTTTCGCTTTCCAAAAACAAAGTAAAAAAATTGTCTTTTTCTCATGTAACTCACTGCAAGTTTCCAATGTACTGATTAGAGAAATGCTAAATTTTGAAGTTTTGAACTCATGTAGTATATGATAAGGAAGAGGTCCAAGAGGAGGTTCATTCCGTGTAATCATTCAGTGTAATGTGTTGTTCATCAAGTGTCATGTGCTGCAGCTGTAAACAACATTCTTTAACAGATTGTAACTGATTTAGTTAGATTGTAACAACTTTAGTTAGTTACTTAGTTACATGATGTGTAGTTAGTTAGAAGTGTGGTTAGGTTAATTAGTTTGTTAGTTTGTTACCTGTACTGGTATATAAATATGACTTGTAATCTCTTATTAAATAATAATGAAGATATCTTAGTTTTACTTTACCTTTCGTTATGGTATCAGAGCACCAAGAAGCTCTCGCGAGCAATTCTCAAGCTTCATCTACGGGGTCCTCTGCTATTCCTTCCAATCTCAATCTATAACAAAATTCAAGCTTCATCTGTGGTAAAGCTAATCACATAGCTCTTGACTGATCCTTCTACTCTTAAGTTTCATTTGCTTAAACACAAATTACCTTTGTCTGTAGCTTCCAATAAAAGTACCTTTTCTTGTGTACATTGCTCTGTAGCCAAATGTCATAGGCTACCTTTTACATTGTCTAATTCCACTGTAACTAATCCACTGGCTTTGATTCATAGTGATGTATGGGGTCCCTTTAATAAATCTGCTTCTCCTTACAAATACTATGTGTTGTTCATTGATGATTTTACCAGATTCACTTGGCTTTGTCCTCTTGTTTATAAAAGTAAAGTGTGTGCCAAATTTATGGAAGTCAAAGCTCTTGTGGAAAAACAGTTTGTTTTCCTCTCAAAATTCTTCGTAGTGATGGCGGTGGTGAATACAAGAATCATCCTCTTCAACATTATCTTCACACTCATGGCATTCACCATCAGTTTTCCTGTCCACATACTCCCTCTCAAAATGGAGTGGCTGAGAGGAAGCACTTACATCTCACTGAAACTGCTATTTCTCTTCTTCATCAGTCCTCTATGCCTCTTCTTTATTGGTTTGATGCCATCGCTGCTGCCACCTATTTGATCAATCGTTTACCTAGTGTTTCTCTTAATAATTGCTCTCCTTTTGAGTTGTTGTATCATACTTCTCCTGATTACTCTCTACTAAAAGTCTTTGGTTGTCTTTGTTTCCCCTGGCTTAAACCTTATGCTTTTCATAAGTTGGCACCTAAGTCGACTCCTTGTGTTTTTCTAGGTTATCATCCTAGTGTTAAGGGCTATAGATGTTTAGATCCTCAGACTGGTCACATTCATTTATCTAGACATGTTACTTTTCATGAACATGAGTTTCTTTTTTCCTCTTCTCCTTCTGTTTCTTCTGTTTCTTCTCTTCCTCTTTTACAGGATTTCTTTTGGTCACCCTCTCCTCAGCATAGTTATTCTCAGTCTGCTCTGGCTTCAAAGTCTAGTGTTCAGCCTATATCTACACAGCCACAGTCTACATCTGTCCAGGCTCAGTTCTCTTCCCAGCCAGCATCTCCATCTGTCCAACCACAGTACTCTTCACAACCCCAGTCTTCTGATCTGGCACCTCCTGCCCAATTTGCACAGCCTATATCTGCACAGCCTTCCTCTGCCTTGTCTCATTCTGCTCCTTCCTCTCCATCTATTCCTATTAATTCTATTTCTGTTGTTTTACCTCTTCCTCCTCCTGCTGCTCTCAATTCTCATCCTATGCAAACCCGATCCAAATCTCATTTTACTTGTTTCTCTTCTATTCTCACTTCTCCTGCTGGCTCCTCTCCTTCTCCTGATATTGAGCCCCTCTCTTATCAATCTGCTCTTGACTCTCCAGTCTGGCTCCAAGCCATGTTTGATGAATATGCTGCTCTTCAACATCAAGGCACATGGTCTCTTGTTTCTCTACCCCCTTCTAAGCAAGCTATAGGGTGTAAATGGGTCTTCAAAGTTAAAAAGAATTCTGATGGCTCAGTTGCTCGGCACAAAGCCCGACTCGTCGCTAAGGGTTTTCATCAGCAACATGGTATTCACATGCCTACAGCACTCCAACCACTGATTCCTCACATGCCTACAGCACTCCAACCACTGATTCCTCACATGCCTACAGCACTCCAACCACTGATTCCTCACATGCCTACAGCACTCCAACCACTGATTCCTCACATGCCTACAGCACTCCAACCACTGATTCCTCACATGCCTACAGCACTCCAACCACTGATTCCTCACATGCCTACAGCACTCCAACCACTGATTCCTCACATGCCTACAGCACTCCAACCACTGATTCCTCACATGCCTACAGCACTCCAACCACTGATTCCTCACATGCCTACAGCACTCCAACCACTGATTCCTCACATGCCTACAGCACTCCAACCACTGATTCCTCACATGCCTACAGCACTCCAACCACTGATTCCTCACATGCCTACAGCACTCCAACCACTGATTCCTCACATGCCTACAGCACTCCAACCACTGATTCCTCACATGCCTACAGTAGTTCAGTTACTTCTACTGATTTTACTGACATTTGGCATCAGAGATTAGGCCATCCTTCTACTCTTAAGTTTCATTTGCTTAAACACAAATTACCTTTGTCTGTAGCTTCCAATAAAAGTACCTTTTCTTGTGTACATTGCTCTGTAGCCAAATGTCATAGGCTACCTTTTACATTGTCTAATTCCACTGTAACTAATCCACTGGCTTTGATTCACAGTGATGTATGGGGTCCCTTTAATAAATCTGCTTCTCCTTACAAATACTATGTGTTGTTCATTGATGATTTTACCAGATTCACTTGGCTTTATCCTCTTGTTTATAAAAGTGAAGTGTGTGCCAAATTTATGGAATTCAAAGCTTTTGTGGAAAAACAGTTTGGTTTTCCTCTCAAAATTCTTCGTAGTGATGGCGGTGGTGAATACAAGAATCATCCTCTTCAACATTATCTTCACACTCATGGCATTCATCATCAGTTTTCCTGTCCACATACTCCCTCTCAAAATGGAGTGGCTGAGAGGAAGCACTTACATCTCACTGAAACTGCTATTTCTCTTCTTCATCAGTCCTCTATGCCTCTTCTTTATTGGTTTGATGCCATCGCTGCTGCCACCTATTTGATCAATCGTTTACCTAGTGTTTCTCTTAATAATTGCTCTCCTTTTGAGTTGTTGTATCATACTTCTCCTGATTACTCTCTACTAAAAGTATTTGGCTGTCTTTGCTTCCCCTGGCTTAAACCTTATGCTTCTCATAAGTTGGCCCCTAAGTCGACTCCTTGTGTTTTTCTAGGTTATCATCCTAGTGTTAAGGGCTATAGATGTTTAGATCCTCAGACTGGTCACATTCATTTATCTAGACATGTTACTTTTCATGAACATGAGTTTCCTTTTTCTTCTTCTACTTCTGTTTCTTCTGTTTCTTCTCTTCCTCTTTTACAGGATTTCTTTTGGTCACCCTCTCCTCAGCATAGTTATTCTCAGTCTGCTCTGGCTTCAAAGTCTAGTGTTCAGCCTATATCTACACAGCCACAGTCTACATCTGTCCAGGCTCAGTTCTCTTCCTAGCCAGCATCTCCATCTGTCCAACCACAGTACTCTTCACAACCCCAGTCTTCTGATCTGGCACCTCCTGCCCAATTTGCATAGCCTATATCTGCACAGCCTTCCTCTGCCTTGTCTCCTTCTGCTCCTTCCTTTCCATCTATTCCTATTAATTCTATTTCTGTTGTTTTACCTCTTCCTCCTTCTGCTGCTCTCAATTCTCATCCTATGCAAACCCGATCCAAATCTCATTTTACTTGTTTCTCTTCTATTCTCACTTCTCCTGCTGGCTCCTCTCCTTCTCCTGATATTGAGCCCCTCTCTTATCAATCTGCTCTTGACTCTCTAGTCTGGCTCCAAGCCATGTTTGATGAATATGCTGCTCTTCAACATCAAGGCACATGGTCTCTTGTTTCTCTACCCCCTTCTAAGCAAGCTATAGGGTGTAAATGGGTCTTCAAAGTTAAAAAGAATTCTAATGGCTCAGTTGCTCAGCACAAAGCCCGACTTGTTGCTAAAGGTTTTCATCAGCAACATGGTATTGACTTTCATGATACCTTTAGCCCTGTGGCCAAGCAACCCGCAATTCGCATTTTTATCTCTTTAGCTCTTCATCATCATTGGCCTCTAAAACAACTTGACATATCTAATGCCTTTTTACATGGCAAGTTGGATGAAGACGTTTACATGGAACAACCTCCTAGTTTTGTGGATCCTTCTCAGCCTACCCTTGTTTGCAAACTTCACAAGGCTCTTTATGGTTTGAAACAGGCTCCTCGAGCCTGGTACTCTACTTTCTCCTCCTTTCTTCTCTCTAAAGGTTTTCTTCAGAGTCGTTGTGATTCTTCTCTCTTCATTCATTCTACCTCTTCATCCATTACCTTTCTTCTTATCTATGTCGATGACATTCTTCTTACTGGTTCTGATCAGTCCTACCTTCATTCCTTATTAACTCAAATGCACAATGTTTTTTCCCTGAAAGATTTAGGGGATATTTCCTATTTCTTAGGTATTTCTGTTCAGTCCACTGCTCAAGGCTTCTTTCTCTCCCAGTAGAAATATGCCTTGGAGCTTCTTCTTAAAGCTGGCATGACAACCTGCAAGCCTTGTGCTACCCCTACATCAGCTAAACCTTCTCTTACTGCTGCTGATTCTCTCCCATTCTCCCAACCTTTTCTCTATCGCAGCCTTGTGGTGCCCTTCAGTATCTTACTATAACTCGTCCTGAGCTCTCTTATGCTGTCAACCAAGCCTGCCAACATATGCATGCCCCTACTGTGGCACATTTCTCTGCTGTTAAACGTATCTTACGATACATTAAAGGCTCCATTTCTCATGGTCTTCTCTTTGCTCCTGGTTCTTTTCATCTCACAGCCTACTCTGACTCTAGTTGGGCTGGGAATGCCACCGACAGACGTTCCACCTCTAGTTACTATGTGTTCTTAGGTTCTAATCTCATCTCTTGGTCCTCCAAGAAACAGTCCACTGTGTCTCGCTCCTCAACCGAGGCTGAATATCGGTCCTTAGCACACACTATTGCAGAACTCACATGGTTGCAAATGCTTCTTGTTGATTTTCACATTCCTCAACCATCTCCACCTGTTCTTTGGTGTGACAACATGTCTGCCTTGTCCTTGGCTGCTAATCCGGTCTTTCACAGCCGCTCTAAACACATTGAAGTCGACTGTCACTTCATTCGTGAGAAGGTTGCTCGTCGCCAGTTCTTTCTCAAATATGTTCCTTCTTTGGATCAATTGGCTGACATCTTCACCAAATCTCTGTCCACTGCCAGATTGCCTGATAAGGAAGAAGTCCAAGAGGTCCAAGAGGAGGTTCATTCAGTGTAATGTAATATGCTGCTAATGTAATATGCTGTTAACTGATTTAGTTAGTTTGTAACTGATTTAGTTAGTTTGTAACAGCTTTAGTTAGTTACTTAGTTACATGATGTGTAGTTAGTTAGAAGTGTGGTTTGGTTAATTAGTTTGTTAGTTTGTTACCTGTACTGGTATATAAATATGACTTGTAATCTCTTATTAAATAATAATGAAGATATCTTAGTTTTACTTTACCTTTCGTCAGTATAACCCCCAGCAGGTAGCATACAAGAAACGCTATAATGTTTTTTAATACCAAATAAAACTTTATTGAAAATTTGTAAAGAAGCCTTGACAAATGACCTTGAAGCCATGGCATACATTTGATTCAACAAATGAATTAGTAGCTAGTCTTTCTTGAGAGAAGGAAATTACAACTACCTTCAAAGACATCAATTTGGCATATAGTGAAATGGTAGAACTTACCTCAAATTCACAATGCCATTTCTTGATTTTGTGTGTTTTGCTCCGTTCATCCAAACACCATGCTCATCACATGGGAAATAAATGAGACCGGGACATTCTACTTTCTCGAAGTAGATCAACTTGGGAAATAATCTCCTAAGGTCCATCCACTGCATTTGGAAGTCACTCAAGTACTTCAATTGCAACATCTCAATTGTGGTAGTTGCTATTTGGTCTAGATTACACAATAGTCCTCCTCTAATGTGGAGTTTCTTCAAGTTCTTCAGATTGCCAGATGACAACCAACTGGGTGTAACCATTTCGGGGAAACACTCAAGCTCTAGTTTTTGTAATGATGAAGGAAGTTCCATATGGATAGGAAGTTCCAAATCATGCTGCTCGGTGAACGATCCTATCAGTGCTCTTGTTAGATTGGCACGTGGATGTGGTTGTGGTTGTGGTTGTGCTTGCTTAGGTGTGTTGTTTGTTTTGCCTTGTAAAACGCATCCTCTCCAGGATATTTTTAACTTTTGTAAAGTTTTTAATCTTTGTAAATAACGGAGCTGCTTACTTGTTGGGAATTCTTTCATATTGGTGTGTAGGCTTAATTTTCTCAACTTTGATAGTTTTGTCAAATCATCGATAGTACATGAGTTTTTATCCTCGGAATCACCAATGATAAATCCCTTAAGAACTTCGAGTTCTGATAGTGAACCAAGGCCCTTGGGCATGTGATTTAAAAAGTAACACTCAGATATGTCTAAGTGTGTCAAATTCTTAAGTAAGCCAATCCAATCGGGAACAACCTCAAGATTGTGACAAGCTTTGAGATCTAGGATCCGGAGATTAGTCATCTGTGAAATACACTGAGAAAGCTCTGTAATCAAAGAAATTCCTCGAAGGCTAAGAAATCTTACCCGTTTCATATTCTTGAGTGCATTGAGAATTTTGGTATCTGTGACTTCAATGTGACTAGTGACCGAGTTTTGCCACCTTCCCAAGTAAACAATTCTGAAATAGATGAACTTGGAAAACCATTCAAACCTGTCATCAATAATGGCCTCATCAACATTGAGGAAGCATTCATGCAAAGCAGATGGAGTATAAATTCGATTATTCGTATCCATAGAACACACTACTTTAAGGCAAAACTGGTTTAACGCAGAATGAATGGAAGGGTGCATTCTGTAGCTATCGACGGCCAAGCCACGATTTTTGTGGATAGGCTCGATAAAGCCCTTTGTAGTAAACTCATCCAATAACTCATTGCTAAATTCCTCTGCCGTCTTCACCAACACAATTTCTCTGCCCGGTGAGGTTGAGACTGTTGCGGATACAAGTCCCTCTCCAATCCACCAGTAAATCATAACCCTTTTCTTTATAACAACCATTTCTGGGAACATCAAGAAACATTTCAAACAATTTTTTAGTTTGTCTCGGAGGGCATCGAAAGATTCCTTGATATGATCGAACTTTGGCACCTTGTACAAGCTCTGCGAATGGCCGGCCTTGTTGATATCGACTTCGTAGTTGTTGATGCTACGGTTAATGGATCCATCAAACCATGGATTCCGACGTGGTTTGGAATCATCATCGTAATCGGTTTTCATAATCAGCTTTGATGGAATTTGGGATTTCAGTTTCTTGACTGCCACTTTCAGTTCACTAAGTTCTTCTCCTCCTCCTGTTTTGAGCTGCTCAAATTTCTGACTGGCCTGGTCGATTTGGACATTCATACGATCTACATACTTCTGAACCTTTACCATGGCCTCTTTCATGTAAATAAGATCTCGACCAATCACGTTAGCGAGCGCAGGATCTCCAACGTGGTAGTAATCGTTGTTTGTGGCGGTGGTAGCTTTGTGGTGGTGGTTGTCAAGTGGATTTGGTTGGGAGATACTGCTGCCCATGGCTTTCACTGCCAAAAGGTCGTGTTGAAGTCTTCGCTAGAGTTAATAGAGAGAGAGTGAACACATTTTTTCTTTGATCGTCAGGGTTTCATAGAGAGAGATGGATCAAGAGAAAGAGGCGCAAATGCGAGAGAAGAAACGTTGTGACACCATAAGAGAGAGACGAAGTGTGAGAGAGAGAGAGAGAGAGAGAGACTGAAGTAAAGGTGCAGAAGAGATAAATAAGGGGGTGGCCTACGGATGTTGGAAATCTACCGGGACAATAATTAATGAGACGCCGGGAAGAAATATGGTCCACTGGCCGGGACCACGGTTGTTGAAACCGCGTTGTCTCAGTAGGTTTTTATAAATTTTATAAATATAAATTGGGTAATAATTGGTGATTATAAATTCTGTGGTTTAAATAGTTCGTAAATATTAAAATAATGTCGTTTTGGGTATAAAATAATTTCGAAAATGTTAAAATGACTCATTTTGGTATTTTCGGACCATTTAAGCCATAAAATTTGTAGCCACCAAACATTTTCCATATAAATTTGAGACAATTTGATATGTATTTATGAAATTTATTATGGGTTCTGTCTTAATTTATGGAGTTTATTATGAGTTTTATTTTAATAATTTAAATTATTTATTTTGTAGGTTATTTGTATATATTATTTATTAAAAATATTTAAGTCGATTTGATAATCGTAATATTTTTTTACTGTGTTTGTTTTGAAAAAAATAAATGGTTTATTTAAAAAAAACATACTTGTTTTTTTTTTCAAAAAACAAAAGTGATAAAATAAAAATATTATAAATTACGATTCAACTTAATTTTTTTGCATGAATAATATACATTAAAAATCTTACAAAATAAACAATTAGGATCATTGAAATAAAACTATAATGGATTCCACGAAGAAACCCATCTGTAGAGACTCCAATTTGACCGATCTTAAGACTTGGACGTTTTCTTTCGAACATTCGATGATGAAAATTAAAATATGTTAGTTTATGAATTTCTCTACAAAAAAATCAAATTTAAGTTTTAATTCTAACCTTACACCCATTTCAATCAAATTATTTTACATCCGTTAAAAAGAAATTTCTGGCCAAAATCCAAAAACAGAGCAATTTTAAGAAAATTAGCTCCCACACACGTGGGATGGCCACATGTTTTGAAAAACCTCGTGGATGGCCGCATGGTTTTTGAATCTCGTGGGATGGCCATGTTGTCATGGGATTTTATTGAGTAATTCACCAACTATAAAAGGGGCACTCCACTCGGTTTGGAGAGATTGAAAAAAAAAAAAAAAAAAATTATTAAAAAAAAAAAAAAAAAGGGAGAAAAGAGAGGTAGAGAGAAAAAAAAAAAAAAAAATCTTTTCAAAACGAAAAAGAGAAAAAAGTTATGGAAAAGAAAGAGGTAAAGAAACGTGGAAGAGGTAAATTTGGTTCGGAAAGGAAAAAAAAGGTGAGAGAAATTGTATTCAAAGAGAGGAAAAGAGAAAAAAAGAAAAATTAAAAAATTGAGAGAGAGAGTCCATCGAGGGATTTTGTTTTCTTCAGGGATATATTATCTTCTAATTTCATTAAAGTTAAAATTTGAACTTGTGATTTTATCAAAACATATTTTATAATCCTGAGGGTATTAGAAAGATAATTTGATAATCAAAAAATTTATCATTTACTCAAAAGGTGAATTTTTGTATTCTTCTCATCTAATTTTGTGTTGTTTATAGGCAATTTTTTTAAAAAAAATAAAAATAAAAATAATATAATAATTTACAATATGTAAATAATTATTTGAGGAAGTTGTCTCCCACCCTCCTCCTCCGCTCTCTTGTTATTGCTTTTCTTTTTGTTTTATTATATTTTTTTTCTTTTTGTTTTCTTTTTATTATTATATATATAAATTGTGAAGTGGGTTGCGTTGGCACCCACATTTGTTTATTTTTTGTTTTTATATTTATTATTTTATTACGTATAATATGTATATATATATATAAAATAATGGTAGTAGAGTTAGGGGTGCAACTTGGTCGGATTCAATCTGAGTAACCCGTGCCTAACTTGATTTTTTTTTTAAAACTTGGACAATAATAAATTTTTGATGCTCGAATTGTAATTTGAGCCCGGCCTAGACAAATTTTGTTTGTAACTTGAGCAATCCAAACCCGAGTTCATTTTATATAGTATAAAAATTATATAATATATAAGTGCGGGCATGTCTCGTTTGCTTTCAATTTGTCCTCTCTTGGACACAGACCACATGGGGCTATCCCCTTTGCTTTCACGTTCTCTTCTCTTGGGCAAAGAGACCACCACCACCTTTTCCTCATTGCTGTCATTTCCCTCTCTCTCTTTGACCACCATTGAAGTTCAAACTTCACCCAAATGATCCCTCATTTCTCTTGAGATTTGCGAACAAGATCATGAAGCATCTGATATATCCTTTTGAAGATTTAACTTGTATTTTTTTCTTTCCCCCTCCCCCCCTCCCAAAAAAAAAAGAGTGTTAAGTTGGATTCCATACTATATCCCTCAGCTTCTCTCTCTAAAACTCTTGATAAAGTTGTCTTCTCTCCTTGTTTTGTTGGATTTGCAGGTAGAACTATAAAAAAAAGATCATTTTTATAGTTGTAATGGTTTACTTGCAGATAGTTTGAGAAAAATTTAATGTAGGTAGGATTTAATTTTTTAATGGATTGTTTAAAAATTTCCTTCTTTTATTATTTAATTCTATTTGGGTGTGATGAAGATGAATTATGTTTCTTTTTTATTTAGTACATGATTGTTATTGAATCATTCCCGGTCTAATTTTTATTTATTTATTTATCTATTCAATTGGGAAATTCGGACAATTCGGCTAACCTGAGTTCAGATTATCAGGTTGATGGACGGACTTGGGCACTTCTAAATACAATTCGGGCTTGGCCTGGGCAACCCTCCAACCGAGCCAACTTGCTCGAGTTGTACCTCTTGTTGGACGTGTCAGATTTTCAGTGTTTAGATATTACTTGAGGAAAAGCATACCACAAAGCTTGGCTTGGCTTTGTGACGCCCTGTATTTTATTACTCGGATAACATTACCAATATTCATTAATTAAGTCCATTTATAAATAATAATTCATCATTTGATGAAGTGATGAATAAATAAATATACATGCTTCCTCTCGTTATACAACAGTGTCATTTACATACAAATAAAATAAATGCCCTGAGGCTTACAATAAATAAGAGGGCGTTGCCTTTTACAAAGCATAAAACTCAACCAAAGAAACAATTAAAAAGCTCTATGGCTCATCACGACTTTATAACCATGTTAAGGTAAAACCGGCTGTTTGATCCTTAAGTTCGAAAACATTCCCTGTACACATGTACATGTAAGGGGTGAGCAAACTACTACTTCATCAAACAATCTCATATTATAACATTAAAACACATGCGGGTCCAGCCATACAGTGCTACCAAACATATATATATATATATATAAAGTCATACCATGCCATAACCTTATGACTTTATTATTTAATTCCTTAAAATCAAGTTTAATTAATTAACCACACTTGTTAACTTAAATAAATTAACATACTTCAATATCAACCAGATATTCTTTTCAAAACCAATGCGATGCCATGCTCAATTTATATTGCAATTTATTTTATCTCAATTCATTAGTCATGTCCATTTCATTCAATCAACCAAACTAGGTATACAACTCGATAGGTCTTTAACGAATATAACTATCACAGAAATACATCTATTTGCCATTTTACAGAAATTTTGTCTCCGAGATCGGCACACATGCATACGCGTGGTTTCGGGACTTTCACCATGGACACACAAGCCAACTTAATTTCAATGGAGTTCATCCCCTATCTTCTCCCAAACAATTGAGTACATCCTCTTTCTCCTCCTAAAGAATCATATATATACAATGTATTTAAAACATAGTCATATTCAATGACAACCAACAAGAGATTAGTTTCAATTCACCTAATTCTCATGCAATTTATACAACAATCAATACTGTCCTCCACCGATAGCCAAAGCAGTTATCTCTAATGCATTAATTAAAAGATAACAACATGAATATACAATCCAACATGCAACCATAACTTGAAATCCCCTATGATTCCCAACACTTGGAAACAATCCATATTCCACTTTTTAAAGCCAAACTTCTAAACAAAAGGTTTGATAACATATAACCCAAAAGCGGGCTCAAGGTTTCATCAATTCCTAACTCACATACTTTATCACTGAAATGTAATTACAATCTTTCCAAAACTCATCACCATCCCAACATCAAATAGAATCAAATTCCCATTTTTCTCATGCAAGTAAAATCTCGGGATTTTCAAGTTAAATCATAATTCTCAATAAACATAAGTGAATATTCCAACACTCAATCAATTATATCAAAATCTTCTCTTGACTATAATTATAACATATAACACGAGTATTCACTTTCCAAATTAAACTAAGGAAAATAAATAAATAAAATAAAAGTTTTGATAACTCATTCTTATTTTAATCCAACTCCTACATTTGCTCCATACGAGCTGAAATCACATTCTTTTCTTTTCTTGTCAAAGACCGCCAAAACCATTCAAATATCTCATATATGAATTTGAGGTAATATTAAAATAACATAACTCAACTAGTAAAACTAGGGACCAAATACCATACTTCATCAACTTAATCTCGCTTATTTCTTCAAATCTCATACATGGTTATTTCATCACTTTTAATCTTACATATTAAAAGTTAGGAATTAAACCCAATAACACCATTTTAATTACAAAGGATTTAAAATATTAACCAAACTGATTTAATTCATCAAATTTGTTAAGTTCATTATATTCACCGTTTTCCAAATTAATAACACCAAACATAACTTCACATGTCTCATCTCTCAAATACACCCATATTTCATGCCTAGCCAATTTTCCCAAAGTGTCTACAAATAACACTTTCACAACTTTTCTAAAATTAACTAATCAGCATGATATTTACATCAAAAATTTAAAAATATACCCAAGAGTACACTTTTTAAAGTTTCAAGTTCAAAAGCTCAAATCTCATATTTTCCTTCCCACAAAAAAATAAACAAAGATGACAATGTATATATTAATATTCATCAAATGTCATGAACATAACACCCTTAAGAGTTTTTTTTTTTAATCCCAAAATCACTCTCTAATTCCAACTTGATAGTTCTTAT